TCCACCGTAGAAAATATTTGATTAACTTTAACTTTCAAAATTGATAAGATTTGATTAACTTCAATTTTCAAAATCTTCCCTGAGCAACTGTAACTGAAATAGTCAATAATAGTCTGTATGCAATCCAAGCATTTGGAAAACAATAAACTATTCTTTTTATAAAATCAAATACTTCAATTATTATTATTTTTTGTTCATTTTGGTACAACTTTTTCTTAAAACTTGTAACTCTAAAAATAATTATGTCACATTAATATGAGAAAATGTCATGATTTAGGAAATCCTTAAAGTTATTTCGAAAAATGTGACAGTTGATTGCAGTCATGAATTAAAATTTTGATTGTTTGGATTGGGTTTAACTGAGCCTATCATACATGCACGTGAGCTCAAAAATAATATAATAATGAAAATATTCCATAAAAATGGAGTTTGGGGGAACTTTTTCCAAAATAATAAAGTCAAAAGTCAAAGTTTCCAAAGTGATGGAATTTAATGAAAATGCCTCTTGATTTCCAAATTTCCCCTTAACAGTTGAGGTGTTAAGAGACTTGAGAAAACCGGCGACAAGCTCTAAGGACGACCAAGAAGCAGCACAACAGCTTTAGCAAGAACAACATAACCATGAAAACGAGTAAGTGCATCGACCTCCAAACTCGGTTTCTTTGTAAAATGAAGTGGAATCTCGCAATAACTTGAGACGCCGTCGAAGTTAAACTCCATGTCGCCGAAGAGATGCTCACTGTTGGTTTGAGGACAAAGAACGCCAATCGGAGATCACAGACGTTTCAATTCAGAGCTTCGACGGTAGGTTTGCCAACCCAAATACGTCGTCTCACGACCAATTGCGGAGCAAGAGGTCCAAAGGGGTTTCGGCTAAAAAAAACTGGACTTTCTTTCCGAAATCTGATACTTCAATCGTCAGGAAATGAAAGACGAATACTAAGGCTGCATTGTTTCGATATAAAATATTTTTTTCAAAGACTTTTGTTTGGTTGTAAAATAATTTTTTTGAAAAATATTTTTTTTTCAGGTAAAATATTTTTTTTATTTTTATTTTTTCGATGTTTGGTAAAGGTTTAGGTCGAGGTGAACGATGACTCCATCGGGCGAAACGAAAATTCATATTTAAGTTTTTTTTGTTAAATTTTTTTTTTTTTTCTTCGTAAATATTTTACAACAATTAAATACCAAAAAAAATATATATATTTTTTAAATAATATTTTACATCCAAACAAATGAAGTCAAAAAATATTTTTTTTTTTCAAATAAAATATATATATATTTTTTATATTGTAATGTTTGACAAAGGTTTAAGTTGAGGTCGAGTTTATAAAGTAGGACATGTAAAATAACCTGTTTGTTAAATTTTAATATTTTTTTTTTCATAAATATTTACGACAACTAAACATCAAAAAATAAAAAAATATTTTATATCCAAACAAATGGAGCGTAACAACAATACTGGTGCAAAGAAAGAGAGCTCGTCGGACAAAAGACAGATCCTCATTGTCATTAGTTGTGCGTAGGCACATTGCCAATCGAAGAAGACTCTATAATGACAAACCCAATGACGTTGCTGACGTGACAGTCTGACGTCGGTCTGGGTCTTCAGCTTGCCGTTGGGAAGTGTGGGATTGTGACAGGCTTCTAATAGGGTGTGGAAGACGAAGTAGAGTAGTTGTAGAGAGTGTTGGGCAGTGAATCAGAGATGTTGGTGAGTTATGTCTCTCCGCTAGTTGTACCATGTGAGTATATACTGAACATTATATTTTCATGTTGGGGTCACGGTTTTCACAAAATTCCATCATTTTAAAAAAATTGACTTTGACTTCATTATTTTTGAAAATTTTATCCCAAACTCCACTACTTCGAAAATTTTTATCCCAAACTCCATTTTTTTGGAATAATCCCTATAATAATAAAATAAACTAGCTTCTAAATTTAAATAAAATTTTTTTTTTTTTTTTTTTTTTTTGAAGGGAAGGGACGAAAACAATTTCTTGTTACCATGCAAATTATTGTAGTACATATATAAATTGATATTATAAGTAGGTGTGTTTATTGTCATATTTGTTTTTGAAAATTATTTATTATTATAAATTTACATGATAGGTAAGTGAGTGTTGTCTTTTAATTATGAAAATTATGGTATGAAAGAAATGTGTTTAGCTTAATTGGTTACAGGAATGATGGGAAACAAAGATAATATTACTATATCAATGAACCTAAATTTGAGGCCTGGGTCACCCATGCAGAGGGTCGCCTTGACTATACATCTAAATATTTATAAACATCTATAATATTATTAAAAAAATAAATAGTTTCAATACATACTTGTGTTTCAGTACATTATTAAATTTCAGTACATCATTATTATTATTATGATTTTAATATAAATTTACCTTTTCTATTTTAGTTTAATATTTTCCATTTTATATGTAGTTGAGACACTATTTTTTTTTTTTTCCTTTTGATTTTATCTTTTTATTTTTTACCTTTTATTAATTTTCTATTTTTATATGTAGTATGAGACAATTCTTTCTTTTATCTTCTATCTTTTTATTTTTTGCCTTTCTATTTTGGTCTAACAATTTCTATTTTTATATGTAGTTCGAGACACTATTTTTTTTTTTTTTTTTTTTTTTTTTTTTTTTTTTTGTCCTTTTCACCAGCTTTTGTAATTTACCTTTCCAATATAAATTTACTTTTTTATTTTTTCACCTTTTCTATTCTATTCTAATAATTTTTGTTTTTATATTTAGTCCAAGACACTATTTTTTTTTTTTTCCTTTTTGATTTTAAAATTTTAATTTTTACCTTTTCTATTATGTTCTAATCACTTCTTTTCTTTTTTTTAATATGTAGTTGGAGACAATATTTTTTTTAAAAAGTAGAAACAGTATTGGTGTAACTTTTTAAAAATGCATGAATGATTACAGAAATAATAAAATTTGTTAAAATAAAATAATAAAATTTGTTAACATAAAATGTTTTTATTATTATTAGAGTAATGATAGGCAGCATGCGAAAACTCCTCAAATTTGATTTGGCTAAGATTAAAAATAATAAATAAAAAAAAGTCTTGTCTTACTCTTACATCCAATTTTGGAGAGTTTTTAATTTTCTGTTTTTGAGGGGAAAGAGAAAGTACTATGTTTTATATTTTATATATATTTTTATTTATATACCATCTAACTCTTTCTTTTTTAATTAACTTAGTCAAATCTTAAAACAAATAAATAAATGAATTTAGCCAAATCAGAGTCTAGGAATTTTTGCATTTTTTTCTTTTGCATTGCCTGGCTTTACTCATATTATTATTGTTTGAAGTTTCAGTTCAGTTTAAATAAATAGATTATTATTATGACATATATAACAGAAAATTTTGGCTTGTTGCTTTTATTTTTATCTTACCATCCTATTGCCCAGGGCCGACCCCGACTATATTAGTAAATTATATATATATTACATCAAGCCAAAGAGTAAATTTCTAAAAGACATGTGTCCAATATCATGATGCTTACTAAATCAAGGACTGTTTTCACTAAATACACATTGTGAAGATGACATCATGTGTAATTTAGGTAAATAAAATTAATTATTTTTTTTTTTTTGTGTTCTTTATAATATTTCAATTTGAAAATATTATCCTAAATGCAATTAGTAATCACTACCACAATGAATGACCCGAGACAAAGTTGTGATGGACCAATCAAATAATAAAACTTGAAGGTCATTGTCCCTGGAGCATAATATCACACCTACCCCGTTACTGTTACAAAACATTAAAAGTCAAAATGTGCCACCAAAGACATGATAGAAGACATCCCACACACAACACACACTGTGACGGATCTGTCCACACCACAACACTATTATTATTCCAACCGCTTGACAGTTCCTAACTCTGTCCTATCCAACAATTCGCATAATTTCCGGCACTACAAATCAATGTCCAAAATATATACGCATACATATATATATACATATACACACACACACAAATAAATACACAAGTCATTTCCACTATAAATCTATTTCTAGATTACATAAATTTAATAAAAATATTATAAAAAAATCTTATAGCAGAAGTGAAATACAATAACATTGCTCATAAGCGGACCACTGAAATATATATATAAATTTTTGGCTATTTTATAGCTACCAATTCTATTTTCTTAAATTATATACCTATAAAATTTAAAAATTGCCTCCATTAAAATTACAGAAGAAAAAAAAAATACACTATTGCCCCTATTTCATGGTTTAATTTTTTTTTATCTTTTTCTTACCAAAGATGCGTCTTCTTACATGATTTTATAAGGTCCTTCTTATTCATAAAACTACTCTAACTAGTAAGTTTTTGGGTACTCTCTTTTGAGTTCAAAACTAGTAACAATTAAAGTTTATTCAAACATGATTGGCATGTACTTACCTGCATATGAAATTTGCAAATTAAAGTTCAAAACTAGTAAAAATTAAAGTTTATTCAAACATCATTTGTATTTACTTACCTGCATATAAAATTTGCAAATTAAATAAGAATTCAGAATAATTATTTAATAAGTAAATTCATTGTTATCAAAACAAAAATACACTCCTAAAAGGACTCCCAACTCAATGAAAGGGCTTCAAAATATTATTTTTTTATTTTTAAAAACATTAATATTTTAATTTGGCATCAAAATTAAACCTTTGGCTCAACAAACAACCAAATTGTAAATGGTTATGTAACTTAAAGAGAGACCGCTGAATAATTTTGATGATTTTATAGTCTAGGTTTTTACTCATTTAATGGAAATAATATCAATAACAGAGTTTGTTTGTTTTTTAATGTGTAACGTTTATGCCCTACCAAATACGATGTAAATGGTTAAATGTAGCTCACACGTGGTAAAGACATTATTAGGTCTTATATCCTACACGTGTCGACGAAAAAGAGGAACAACATTGTTAAACCGTGCAGCCCCATGCTTGAGGAATCAATTCTACATCACACGTGCCATATTCATTTTTAACGCCGGAAATCCCTCTACTTTCCTTCACCTTCTCCGTTCAAAATCCAAAGACAGACATTACATCAAAAAGCCCTAACTAGTTCTACAACTAGACATACACAGTCAAACGCACACAAATACAAACATATTTCATATATATAATATATTTATATATAACTGTATCCATTGGTTTAGCTATAGCGTTGTTTCTGAATATTGATTGGAGAGATGGGGACGGTGACGTCGACGATGGCGGCGAAGTTCGCTTTCTTTCCGCCGAATCCACCGTCGTACACGGTGGGCGCTGATGAATCCACCGGGAAAACGAAGATCTCCGACGTGCCGGCGAGAGAAAACGTGGACGTTTTGAAGCTGGCGACCAAGAGAGGGAACGAGATCGTGGCAGTCTACATGAAGAATCCGGCGGCGTCGTTGACGCTGTTGTACTCGCACGGCAACGCGGCTGATCTAGGTCAGATGTACGAGTTGTTCAGTGAGCTCAGTCTTCATCTGCGAGTCAACTTGATGGGGTGAGTGACTAGGCGTAGATGCAATATCAGTATTTACATGTGTTTGTATATACAAGATCAGTATATACATGTATTGAAGTCCGGGGAAGGCACGACTCTGTTTAATTTATCCATCTAACTATACACATATATATGTCTCAAATTTGATCGGTTTAGATTATAAATGTTTACACTTCGAATTCATTCACAGTGTTTTTTTCTTTTCTTTTCTTTTCCTTTTCTGGTAAGTAAGCTGGGAGCTGTTGATCTGCATATGCATATTGAGAATTAGGTTGTGAAATTAGGCTTTTAGGAAAACGAATATTAGACCCGAATCTTGATTTAGGAAATCTAGGTATTGGAAAATGTCACGTTCTCATAAGATTTTCCCATTTTAATGTTCTGAAAATACTCAGAGCTGGCGAAAATGAGTATTGTTTGATAGCTTAACAAAACACTCTCTAACAAAGGAATCAGTATGTGTTGGGATCCTGTTCTCGCGTCCTGGACCGTACACACAACGCAATACATCAGTTACATAACATAATGCATCATATACGAATCAGCGATGTAAAAATTGTTGCTTAAGCTAACCAAGGTAGTTATTGCATAAGCCATGTGAGGTTGTTGCATTGGCACGGGTCATTATGTGGCATAGGACAGTATCCTGGTTCCTGACAGAGATATAAAATAAACAAATTTAGCAAAACCTGGGGAAAACATAAAATTTGAAGTGCTCCTGAAAGCTTTTGAATTTTGTATTTTTTTGCAGATATGATTATTCTGGGTATGGACAGTCATCTGGCAAGGTATAGGGCATCGTTATGGATTAATTTGGAAGAAGTTTGATTTCTAAATTACTTTTGGTTGAGTGCTGAATTATGTACTCTTGTTGCTTTTTATAGCCAAGTGAGCAGAACACTTATGCAGACATAGAAGCTGCATATAGATGCCTTGAAGAGACTTATGGGGTGAAGGAGGAGAATGTTATATTATATGGGCAATCTGTTGGAAGTGGACCCACTTTAGATTTGGCATCTCGTTTATCAAGATTGAGGGCGGTTGTTCTTCACAGTCCGATCCTATCTGGGCTTCGAGTCATGTATCCGGTGAAGCGAACATACTGGTTTGACATATATAAGGTTTATTTTTAGTTTGATGCACAATTATGTAAAACTGATCTTTAATTGTTAGTGCTGTACTGAAATGATCTCCATTTAAGAGAAACTGATTATTTGTGGTGCAGAATATCGACAAAATACCGTTGGTCAAATGTCCCGTGTTGATAATTCACGTGAGTAATCCGATTTTCTCGTCACCGTTCAAAATTTGTAAAGTCGTGCATGGTTTTTTTTAGCATGCTACTGGAATATAGTTTTATGTCAAATTTTAACAGTTAATGAAGTGATTCATATATTCCTTTTTTATTTCACTGGCTCTGTGTCTCTAACAACAATATTGATTGGAATTCACTGTTTGTTTAATCTAGTTGTGCTTGTTTAATTATATTAATTGTTTGATCTTGTGCAATCATTCTATATAATTAGTCTTGTGGGATGTTTATATTCTTAATCATATTCAAAAGAACATTGATCAAGACTGCCTTATTTGTTACCAAGTGTCAAATCAGTTATATGTTTGAAGCCCACGTACAGCTAGAACTGGTCCTCAAAAGTTTCTATGTTAATTGACTAATCTCACCTTTCTATTTCTTAGAAAAAGAAGGGATGTGAACGAGAAGTTTCCAAGCACTATAAAGTCTCGAACTGCTGCTTTAAGTTTGAGAGGCCTTAAGAACCATATGATTAAACAGTCAAAGTGTGCACGTATTGTATTTATCATGCACGTATTATATCAGTTCGTTTATTCTATCTATATGCTATGAATTACAGTGATGATACAATATGTATCAGCATTCAACAATAATTATCTTTTTAACTAGAAAGTGTATCATAGTGCACGTTATTTTCCTTTATCATTAAGATGCTGACAACCATGATTTTTCCATTTCAGGGTGACTTATTTATTTTGGAGTTTTTCCATTCATGGTAATGTGGTTTAGGCTAGATATATTATTTCAATAATAATATAGTCCGAGCTTTACCCGATTCGTGTGGAGGGGTCACTTTGCACGGGTCCTGTGGATTAGTCGGGGCAAAGCCCGGGATACCTCGATTATAAAAAATAAAAAAAAATAGTTAATGAGTTGATGTTAGTGCTATCTTCCACGATACTAGTTGGTGACCACGAACAAGAACTGTGTTTTATGTAGACTTAAGAACCTGTACCATGCAAATCATGACTCGCTTCTCTGAGGTATGTTCATTTATCATGCTGATTCACTCCATTTTTCCTGTTGGTGCCTGCAGGGAACTGCAGACGATGTTGTAGATTGCTCTCATGGTAAGAAGCTTTGGGAGCTCTGTAAAGAGAAGTATGAACCATTATGGGTTAAAGGAGGGAATCATTGTGACTTGGAGCTCTACCCAGAGTACATTAAGCATCTCAAGAAGTTCATTTCAGCCATTGAGAAATCAGCACATTTTCGAAATGGATGTGGACCATGTTTAGATTTGGAGAATCCTAGACACAGCACAGATCGTAGAGACAGATCTAGACGAAGCACCGATCAGAGGGAGAAGTCTAGGCCAAGTACTGACCAGAGAGACAAGCCAAGGCTAAGCACAGACCGTAGAGAGAAATCACGAGCCAGCACTGACAGGAGAGAGAAATTAAGGAGTGTGGATCCTGCAGAGAAAGCAAATAACAATATGGACCAGCCAGAGAAAGCGAGGAACAGCATTGATCGGTTGGATTAAACTTAGACTTACTTACAGTGTCTTTCTGTTTTCTCCTTTCCTTTAGTTATTCCGTTTTGCCCAATGTGGCATGTTATATATGAATACAAAACTGGTTTTCTTGACTATTGGAATCAAATGGTGGCAGATTTGGAGATATGATGAGGTCAGCCGTATTGTGCAACATTGGCTGTTTCAAGCCCACAGGAGCAGGTTTATGAGGATGGGGAAAAAGTTCATTTATGAGGATGGGGAAAAAGGTCAGTCCAAAAGTCAATGTCTGGTTTTGCTTTCTATTTTTTTGATTGGTCAATTGGTTTGGTTGGGCTATAGGAAAAAGTCTTTTTCTTAATGTCCCATTGAAAGAACAGGAAATTAATTTAACAGGCAGATTATGTATTTATATGTTGTCTGTCCAAAGTAATAAATTTGACCTATCTCCCTGAATTCCCTGTATTTGATTGGCTGTTGCATTTTGATCCTTCTTTGTTGTAAGTTCCTGTTTTTGTTCAAGCATATTGTCACCGGAAAAGGCATTCTTTATGGAGTCATGCAAACAAAGGTTAGGTGAAGGGCTAGAATGTTTTGCTTAAGAGAGTTTTATTGCATCTAAGGACATCAAAGAATTGATTGAATTTTACTGGTTGGTTGAATATTGCTTATTGGTTACTCTGATTGTCCGTACACTAATTGAGTGAGTATGTCGTATTTGTAAGCAAGTTCTTTCAACTGGCTTTATTGATAGTAGGAGAATCGATAAAGATTATATATATATATATATATATATATATACTTATATATTTTCTTCCAGTTTCCTTTGGGTCCTTTTTCCATCTATTGAATCCTGTTTAAGGAACATCTTTAATTTTGTGATACTGCTAGAGTAATATTAGTACTTTCAGTGCGAGATTTTGTTGATATGCCGTATAATTTTATTTTGTGTCATGGACCCTGCTAGTGGAAAGACGGAAGGGTAGTTCTCTTTTCAGCCTGGCAGATTTGAAGATGATAAAGCAATCTAAGATAAGTCTCATTAAGGTGGGATTTCTACTTTAGAATTGGTCATAATGAAATAGGTCTTCAAATCATTAGTTGGAACTCTATGGCTTTCACAAACTCAACATGTACTTCACTTCCAGCACATTTTGATAATTGGTAAAAATTAGTACCCAGGAGTTTGTACTTCTAGATATTCTGCTGGCTCATCGCTTGGATTCAGATCTCTACTTTTACTGATATTGCATAAGGTGTAGGATTGTCTTGTTATTCCATCTAATCACGTGTTTTGAACTGCTTGTTAGATGCCGCAAGAGTGAAATCCTTTTATGTCTGGTAAGAAAGAAAACCAGTGGCTTTAATTGTCAATCATGTTGAAATTTTCACCCTAGTTAATGCATGCACTAGATTTAAGCGGGAAAACATGAAGTTTCCTTGTCCATTTTGGTTTGTGAGGCGCTTAGGTGGCTAGTCGTGTTACATTATTTGTTCACTCTTTTCCAATTTTTCTTGGTAATTAGAAAATGGAACAACCCTATGATCATCCTAAATGCGTACTAGAAAAAGTTAAAAGTACATAGAAAATACTGTAATAAACAATAAAGAAGAAAAGATCGATGCCTTCTGTTTTCATGGAACTGGCTCTTTTGTTTGTTGATGCAACAGAACTTATGGACGGTGATTTGTGCCAAATATATATTTGAAGTGATCTGTATTTCAGGGTGGCATGAAATTGAATTCTAGGTTTGGTTTTTTGCTGTTGTAAATTTTGCTGCTCCTCTCCATTGTAAATTTTCAGGTCTCCTTTTGGTGCCTTGTTCTCTCAGTTTCGTTGGATGTTTCATTTGATCTTCGTACTTCAGTTGTGTGCGTGCGTGTAATATAAAATATATTTATATTATACACACTATATCCCTAGCATGCATTCATACAAAAGCAAAATTCTCACCATTGCTCAACTTCTAACACTGATGATTTGCAGTTGAAAAGTTTTTTCGAAGGGTGATTTCGTTTCTCAAGACTGCATGTGCGTTAATCAAAGAAAACTTTCGACCCGTGGTTTGAATTTGGACAGCATGGTGAATTTAAATGGTTCATAGCATCACATAGGATGCACCACTAGAAGACTATATTTAATTGCATCAAGAAAACTATTTGACCTAGACTAGTGCTGAAATGTGTTTAATTTACCTTAAAAGAGATCTGAAATGTGGTTCTGATAGTATGAAGCCCAACCCTATTTCACAAACCCAATGGCACATGGTAGGAAAGGATATAAGCAAAGTCCAAATTATGAAGGCTATAATATAGGGGATTGTTGTGTAGATTGATCAGAAAGGTGAACGACCACATCTAAGAGACTATTTAACTGCTTGACGGTTTAATTAAAATGTTGGTCAATCTATATGTGCACAATACTCCGTCTTACCCACCAAAAAACAACAGTGTCCATTTTCTATTTTTGGCTGTCACACTAACCTTTTTCAAATAATATATTTCATCTTTTTATATATACTTTTGGAATTTAAAATTTTAAACTTGAATATTTCAAACTTAAAAAGGCAAGTTAATAACTTTACATGGAACAATGCATGTGTCTCACATGTCCGTTTAAAAATTTATACTTCACAAAAACAACGAGGAAGCATGATTCTTGAATTGAATTATTCGAAGACTATTTCACTCCTTAAAGGCTTAATGAAAATGTTGATCAATAGGGACTGTTTGGCATGCTCTTTGTTTTAGTTATTTCGTTTTTGGCTAAAACAGAATTAATGTTTTTGCTGTAGGAGTGTTTTGGAAAAAAATCGAAAGCATATTTAGAAACGATATTTTGCTGTGGAAATGTCGAAAACTGAAATAAAAAAAACAACTTTTATGGTTTTGGGCCATGAACAGTTGTCAAAACAAGAAAAAATAATTTTTTGGTATTTTGGTTTTAGATCATTGTTCACGAAGTGTTTTAGCACTATGTAAAATAAAACAAGATCACACTAAACATTCTTTTGTTGTCAAAATCAACACTGTAGCAGCCCAAAAACAAAAACAGTATAAACAAAACGCATGCCAAACGGGACTTAGATAATCGTGGGTACTTAATTCTTCTCAAAATTAAAAAATAATTTAATTATAATGTATTATTAAACACTTGACATATTTTTTACCAACAATAATTTTTTGACAGCTCGGCAAATGAGCGCTTACTTAATGTAAAATCAAGCAAGTGTTTATTGTATTTTGTAAGTAAGTTACTCAACTACCCTCAATGTTGTTCTCCAAGAGGAGTGGTAAGACTACTTTAACCTTATTCATACGAGTATTTTCTAAAAAGAGAAGAAAATGTAATAAGAGAAACTGCTCAAGGAAAGGAAAAGGTAACCTAGTTTATTGGTTGCAAGTTTAATCGCAGTACCAAAACAAGCAAGCCAGAATAGAATAGTCAAGGCAAAGACTCTCACATAACCAGTCTTTAGAGGAGCAAAGATCAAGACAATGCGGGTTTTTCTCTTCTAATACAACTATCTTTCCTTTATGTTATCAGAACCCAAAAGCTCAAATTTCCATGGCTGAGGAAGTTTCTCAGGAAGATGTCAATTTAATCCGTCTTTTTAGATCTTTTTAATGTGGTTGAGGACAAGTTTAGAAAAATAGTCTAAAACCTACCCGTCCCATACCAATTGATAATAAATATGTATTCTTTTGTTAGCTTATTATTATTTTTTATTCCATACTCAGGCTCGAATCACTTTCCTCCTAAGAATGGAAAAGTTGTAATTGTTATTTTATTAGCAATAGGTTTTCATTTTCCAACATTTTCATGATAATTTTAAATTGACAATTTCTTTTATTTTTTTATTGTTAAATATTTTTTCATATTTCAATTTTCTTAAAAAAAAATTATTTCAAATTTATTCAAATTTGAATTGTCTACTTAAAATATAAGCATACTAGGGTGTCCCAAAGCCATACCAATTTCCATAGATCCCATCCCGACTTTGATGGATGACAAGACGGTGTTCATTGATAAGATAACCCAGATAGGCATAGTAGCCCGACCTCAACGAGGAAGTTGCGAATTCGTATAGAGAAGAATGTTACAAGAAGAACATATCCGCGTCGAATCCAAACAGAGAAGTGAATGAGGGTATATATGAGTTGAGAGTTGGTCCCCCGTTGCAGAGTCTGATGTCTTTTCTAATTTAAAAAATAAAAAAAATGAAGGAAAAGGAAATTAAACCCAACTGGAACGAGGACTTGTGTATTTTTCCAGGTTGTCATCATTTGATACGAAATATTCAGACATATATGAAATCACATATAGCATAACACACAACCTTTTCACTCTTTCCTAGGATCATTAGGGTACAAACAACTGACCTATTTTATTGAAACGTTTTTCCTTTTTTGCTTAATGCAAAAGAAAAATCGCAGCTTCCACAATTTCATCCCTGTACACCAGTACCACAGCCTTCAAGTTCTGTCACATATCATAATTTGCAGAGTACGCAAGCTAACAAATGTGCAACTCCTTCAGAAATTCTTTCCAATGCGCAACTTCGAAATATAGCTCTGGCCTTGACGGACTCCTATGCCTATCAAAAACAAAGGCATCGTCAATTCCTTCAAAACCATCCACGGGCCAGACTCACCTCATCTGGAAGAGGCACTTCCTTCAGTTCACAAGCCCACATCAAATTCACCATGAGCATATGAATTAATAACCAAGACGATCATTCAGTGTGGTCCGTCCATCACCTGATTGTCCTGGATTAAGCATCGCAATTACAAATTCATAAGAAACAATAAAAACAATGAAAGGACTCGATATGTAATATTTAGTAAAACCAAAGCAAAAGCAGTCTACCTTCAGGAGGCACCCAAGATTCATAATCCACTTCATCATCAAGAAATGAAGGTCTCTCAGGACCGAGCTTCTTTTTAGGTTTTTTATTATCCTTCCTAGATTGAGTCCCAGTTGGCATAGCTCCGCCATCATCTCTTATTTCATCATCTGATGTATGATAACCTCTCTTATGCTTCAATAACAGCGCTACTGCATCTTCTGCCCTAATTTCGGTTCCCACGGATGAACATGTCAACTGTTCAGAAACCTTGACTTCACCATCGGACTTTTCAGCCTGCTTCCGCTTCCTTATTATTAAACCTGGAGCTGCATTTTCAATATCCGAGTCCGCATTCACTTTTGCAGCATCTAGATTTCCCAAAATCTTGTTTCTATCTTTGTAGTCAACAAACTGCTCAGACTCATGCAAATTTTCTGGGGCTTTTTCTGGTTGGGTCTCTTTTGTTTCCATTTCCTCTATAGCTCCAAGCCATTGGGGCTTAACGATGGTATATACAGTGGTTTTACCTTCTGTTGCATCAGCTACATCATTTACCACTGCCTTCTTGTTTGATTCAGTAGTTGCATCAGTAGTTCCTGATTTTTTGATAGAGCTACTTATTGATTTTTCTGTTCCGCATTTTCTATTTTGTTCTAATGATGGTTGTTTTAAGGCACTAAAATTAGGTCTTTCCAAAAGAGTAGGTTTTGGTTCTTGTGCTTTTAATTCCCTGTTTCTAGAAGCTTCTCCGGTTGGATCAGCAATATTCAACAAGTACAGTATCCTGTCCAGCTCTGACTGTAGAGAGGACAATTCCGTCTGAAGCTGGTTAGTTTTATCAGCCACTGGCAATGTGATTAGAGGAGATCAGCAACAACAGTTGACATATAATCAAAGATGCTAATATAATCACTAAGATATTCTGCAATCAGAAAAAAGGTTTACCCTCAATATGTTGCAAACAAAACAACTCCAACAACCACCACCCAACCACAAGCCATTAACATACAATCAAAAATGCTAATCACTGATGCAACTTGCTATTAAATTGAGTAGGTCATTCTCTCTCTCTCTGGGTCATGAGACTCGTCAGACAAATAACTCACACACCCACTTCGCAACTATAAAGACTTGAACCCTCAACCTTACACTTGGGAGTCAGTCATTCTGCTACAACCCTTGGTGATAATTGACTAAATCTTTTTAACATAAAAAAATAAGTAAAGCCCTACAAACAAATGAGGGGAAAAAAAGGGTAAACTACAATGACTTCCATGAGATTTGGCCTAAATTATAAGTAAATGAAACTATTGCATTTTTTTGCAACGTGTCCCCTTGAGGTTTGATCTGATTTTGCAAAGAACTCCCCTCTGTACAAAAATCAGTACTTTTTGTTAGAAATTTTGGTTGAAGAAACCAAAATGCCCATCGACCAAGTGTAACGACCCTATTATCCTTATAATTTCCTGAAATAACAAAAAAACCATGTTTTAATGGACTGAAATTCCCTTCTCTCCCTCCCTTTCTCTCTCTCACTTCACCCACCCATCACTGCCACCATTCCCCATAAATATATGTTTGCAAATGGGACAGTTCCCATATATTCATTTAATCTATATATCTGTATGTGTGTGTGTGTGTATCTTTGCAAATGGGTCTATCAGTTTTCCTAGTTGCCTGTTTGTAATGATCCATGTAATGAATAAATAAAATAAGCAGTTTTGTGAAATTGCTTTTGGTTGTAGTAATGGCCGGTGTCTTTACTCACCACCAGTCACCATCCATTACACGACTCATAAAATATTAAAGGGCCACCACCACTTCACCGACCCAGGGCAAGCAGATGTAGCCAACAACACAAAAAAACACCACCAAGTCGGCCGCCATGAAACCCTCGTTGACGGCTTCTTACCACCTCACCCAACTACTGGCGAATTGGACAATCAGAATTCCGTCCCATGTCTCTACACCAATGATACCAAAATCCCATTACTGATTTTATTGAGATTTGATCTAATTGCGAAGAAATCAATGGCCGTGGGATGGTAACCGGATTGCAGTCAGCGAAAGGAATCACCGGCGAGAGGAGAAAATCGACAATAGACGGGATATATATATATATATAACCATGTAAACCCACCTCAAATCTTCAAGCCTTGGAAGGAATCAGTGATTTTGCAGTGAGGCCGTAGAAATCTTCCATGAAGACGATGGTGAGTCAAGACAACAACCATTAGCGGATTTGGTAATTTTCCTCTAGAATTTAGTTTTTGTGTGTGTGTTTGTGTGTGGTCATTTTCATCTTTGAAATTGGGGTTTCTGATAAGGGGTTTGAGAGGCACAAGAATGTTGTTTGGCTGATGGTTTTTCGATGAGTTACCGTTGCCGGGGCAACAGGCGATAAATGTAAAAAATTATCTGATGGTGGAATAGAGAAAAGGCAGAATAGCCAAAGAAATACCAAATGTGTGTGTGTGTGTGTGTGTGAAATTTGTTGGTATCAGAGTTGTTGGGATGGGCAGCTTTTATAACATTTGTTAAAAATTGATTTTGAGAAATGATCTATTCAGTTCAGAAAAGAGTTTACAATGATTGCTTTAATTTGTGGTTTTTTTTTTTTTTTTAAATACATTAGTGAACATAACAGATTATTAGTTTCTCTTTATTTTTTCATTTCATTATACATGTGAAGAATAAGAAGATCCTATTGTTTCTCTAGGCAAAAATATGGAAGCTGTTGTTTCTTGTCTAACATTAATTTTCTTTAATGAGAATGAAAGGGAGAATGAGATTATATATATGAGTTTATATATTGTTCTTTTTCTGTTCAAATTTGAGAATTGTGATATATATATATGTATGGGGTTAGGCAGAATAGCTAAAGAAAAAAAAAAAAAAAAAAAATTTTGGTATCGGAGTTGTTGAGATGGCCTGTGATGGTGGTGGGAGGAGGTGGTGTGGGTAGTTGGTGGAGAGGGAGAGAGAAGAAGAAGGGGAAAAAATTAATGAGGGCAAACTTGTAATATAACATAATAAGATATTTTAGCCTTTTTTAACAATAAAATAATGAGGGTAGATAAGTAAATTCACCACAAAATCTGGCATAGGGGGGATCTTTGCAAAAAATGGCAATATTCGGTTTATTTGCAATTAGGCCAAACCTCAGGGGAGGTCATTGTAGTTTACCCAAAGAAAAAACTGCTATCTAGGTTGACAAGTAATGTTACATGCAAATTTGCATACATAAATGTTTTACCGTGTGATCATATTAGATCTCACAATATTTCAAAAAAGTTTGAGTGAGCTTCGGAATGTTTATCTGAGTTTATGGAGTAATTAGATAGTCAGATATATTAGCCTTTTTTAACAATATAATAATGAGGGTAGAAAAGTAAATTCACCACAAAATCTGACATAGGGGGGTCTTTGGAAAAAATGGCAACATTCAGTTTATTTGCAATAAGGCCAAACCTCAGAGGAGGTCATTGTAGCTTACCCAAAGAAAAAACGGCTATCTAGGTTGACAAGTAATGTTAATGTTTTACTGTGTGATCAAATTAGATCTCACAGTATTTCAAAAAAGTTAGTGAGCTTCGGAATGTTTCTCTGAGTTTATGATGAGTAATTAGATAGTGTGAAATTTGGATTTTCCTTTGAAATTTGGTCAATTTTCAATAGAAATATCTTGAAATCTGAAAATATTCTATCTGTGAGAAATTTCAAAAGGTAAATAGAAATATCAAATACCATCTAAAAAGTTCATTGCCACGGGATCACATACCTAATTGAGATGATAGCCCAGACATGTACGCTTCAAGAGTGTCTCCCACTTCAGTTACAGCCTCATTTTCTGAGGCTATCCTGTCCTCCTCCTCCTGGAGTAACTTTTTCTTCTCTTCCATTTGTTTACTAATGGCATCTTTCTTATCAAGAAGAGAATCAGCGGTTTCAACTGATTGGTTTTCACCACCCTTTTGACTAGAAGACCGCTTCTTTGTCCGGTCGTAGAAGTCATCATCATCACTGGAAAGTTAGAAATGCCGAGCATGAAGTTCGAGTAAATTATAAATTCAAATGAAGGCACTATTGCCACAGCTCTAAATGTTGCTTCCACAGCCTCTTGAATGTTTAAATCAAGAACAGAGTCAAAGGATCCATCAATGATAGAAATGCTAAGTATGAAGTTCGAGTAAACTATCAATTTAAGAGTAGTAACCAAATTATTTAATCATAATGATGGCGCTATTCCCACAGCTCTAAAAAGTTTTAACCAAGAAAGGAGTCAAAGGATCTACCCATGAATCTTCTCTCCTGTTCCCTTCTCTATCAATAAATCTCTCTATATGTGTGTGTGTGTGCGCGCGCGCGCGCTTTCCATCTCGATTGCTTCACACGCCTTTTTCCCACCCTTGTCGGCTTAGGGAAATAAATCATCACTGGGAACATCACAAACATTGATAAACCATTATGTGAACAAGTGACAACTCAATTCCACAAATCACACTGAGAAAAAAATGCTACAGGAGAATTGTGGGGAAGTGGGAGAGAGAGATTATAATCAGCATCATTATCATCCTTGCCTTATCCCAACCAAATGAGGTCCGCCACATGAATTCTCTTTTCCATCTATTATGTGACATGTTATGTCTCCACTAATATTTAGTCTTTAAAGTCATTTTCCAATTACTTCATCTCAAGTTAGTTTTGGTCGACTAATCTTTCTTTTCTAAGGGTCAGTTTGGTGCAATGGGAAAGGGTGGAAAGGGAAGGGAAGGTGATGGAGGGGGATTAAAAATTTGTGTTTGTCAAAAATTGTTGGAAGGAAAGGGAAGGGTTTGGAAGGATATCAGTAGGCTTAAACAGTGACTTTCTTAACCTCCCAAAAATGGGAGGAATTGGAAGGAAAGGGAAGCAGAGACTTGATGAATAATTTCTGATGCCAAATTTACCCACAGAAAATCAAGGATTTAGTCTGCAAAACAAGAATTACAGACCTTGATTAGTTGATTTAGGAAAAAAATTAAAACAAAACCCATACATACAAGTTAGCAGTTGCAGAGAGAGAGAGGGGGGGCAAGCTTACAGCGGGCCAGCGGCTGAAACTTGCGAACGGCGAACACGAACTAGAACAGCCGGCGATGGAAATGGAAAGATATGGGTTTTGATTTTTGGAACAATCTGAAACAATATGCCGATATGGGTTTTGAACTTTTGATTCTTGCAGACAGATAGATAAACTGAAATATATGGGTTTGGAACTTCTGATTCTTGTAGATTTTGTAGTTTGCAGTTGGAGAGAAAGAGAGTTGCAGAGAGAGAGAGAGAGAACGAGAATAGAGATGGAGGCGGGGGGGCTAAAATGATTTGCCCTAAAAATATTATATTTATATTACATAAGTTTTTTTTTTGTTTTTTTTTTTTTTTGATTTGGCAAATATTACATACTTAAATTTATAAATTTTTCTTTTAAAATATAAAAGGGTATAATAGTAAATTTACTAAAATACTTTCCTTCCCTTTCTTTTCCCAAACATTATCATTATCCCTTCCTTTCTTTTTCTTCATTAATCAACCAAACACTATAGGGAGTTAAAATTATCCTTCCCTTTCTTTCCCTTCCCTTTCCCTCATAACTAATCTTATCATTTCTTTCCTTTGCCACCTTACCAAACATAGCCTAACTGGTAAGTCTAAAGGTCTACGTTGTATGTACCCGTACCACCAAAGCCTGATTTCTCTTACTTTGTTATTAATAGGCATTGTTCCTAATTTTTCCGTCACACTTCAGTTTGCAAACCTATTCACACCCCAACATCCATCTCAACACTCGCATTTCAGACACGTGAATGTGGTGGTGTTCTTTCTTTTTTAATGTCAAGCAGACTGCCCCGTATAAGATAGCTGGCCTAGTAACCGTTTTATAAAATTTTCCTTTCAATTTATTTGGTACTTTTTTATCCCATAAAATACCCACTAGTTTGTCTGTATTTTGTCCATCCTACTCTCATCCTGCTAATAATATCATCATCTATCTCCCAATCTTCTTGTATTGTTGATCCTAAATATAAAAAATGTAACTGAGTAATATTTTGGACTTGAGCTGTTATTGTAACATTATCACTTTCAGAGAGAGAGAGAGAGGTGGAGAACCAGCCCAAGATGGCAGGAAAGAAAACTGAACTGGACGAAGTGAGATTGATTTGCCCCAATAATATAAGAAATTGTCTTGAAAGAAAGGTTGCAAATTTTCAACATAAAAACACACAAAGTTCGAACCAGTCAATACATACTCAAAGTTACCCATACACCACTAATACCTCGAAAGTTCAAACCTGCAAAAATCCACTACTGATAAATTTGTGCACAAAACAAAAACGCAGCCACTGATCTTGCATTCTTTCGTTAACCAAATCCATGAACTTTGTTGAATGAATTTTCTATCTATGTTAAGATTAATCTTAGAATTAAGATGTAAAAATTATCTTGGACGGTTGGACCTTCTCACTAGGTGGCAGATTCCTCATCCAAGTGCCGCAACAGCAGGTGCTGTGCAGAGATTTTGTTTCTTGTTAACTAAGATGATGATGAATGTAGCACACCCAGCGGTTATTGCAGCAATAAGAAAATGAAGTACAAAAAGAAAGAGAAGAAATATCTAGTGACGGCAAGGAGGAGAGAATGGATAAGATTTTGGCTGGACCCTTATGGATTTAGAACTGCTTTGTCCTTCGCAATTGAAAATTTTGGAAGACTATGAAAGCGGCCTTTTTGAGCTGTGGCAATAACGCAAGTAATATAATTGAATTTTTTACCCGAACTGTAAAACATATTGACCACTTAAAAGGGAAGGAGACAAAAATCTTATGGTCATTTAAAAATACTAATGCTTAAGCACGTGAACTTGTGGTCAGTAATATAGTTAAGTAGATAACCAATCCAAACAAAGAATCATGCGGGTGGATTCACAAGAAATTTAAAAGGACATGATAGCATTAGTTAGAGACAATAGAAGGAAAGGATAGTGTTAGTCTCTTCTAGTGTTTGGATATACAGGAGGAATAGTAACCCTTACTTCGTGGTTAGGAAACATGGTGGAGAGGAAAGGAAAGATTTGTTTTATTTTGTAAGTGGTAAGGGCAAAACAGGAATTCACTTATTATAAAAATAGGGACAAAACAGGTAACCGCTAATTCCTATTCTTTCCCTCCATTAACTCCCACTTTTGGAGTGGTATTTCTACTTCGTGGTTAGGGAACATGGTGGAGAGGAAAAGAAAGATTTGTTTTATTTTGGAAGTGGTAAGGGCAAAACAGGAATTCACTTATTATAAAAATAGGTGCACAACAGGTAACCGCTATTTCCTATTCTTTCCCTCCATTGACTCCCACTTTTGGAGTGGTATTCTTATAAAAAATAGGAAAACGGGCAATTCTTATAAAAAGGATTCCTTTTCCTTTCTTTTCCCTTCTTTATTTATTTATATAAAGAGCGTTCAAAACAGGAGCACATCACGCATACAGCTGCACAAAGGCCATAATGACCACTATGAGCTCAAGCTAGCCAAGATAATGTACTAAGAATATGATATTTTAACACCCAGCTAGAAGTCTCCTCCCCTTCAAAGCAAACACGATTTATGTTATCCTTCCTTTTCATTTTTTTTTTTTCAATTCCTTCAGTATAAACACAGTTGTAAAGTTTCGACAGTGAAATGAAATCTAAATTGAATGGTCAAGTTACAATATATAATTACTTTCTTAGCCTAAATTCCTTTATTTGTCGAAAGAAATTGCAATTCTAAAGTACCTAAAATATTCTTCATCATCTTCTTCGGCTGCTCCTTTCTTCTTATTGCGAGACATCCTTCCAGAACGCGCACCCATACTTTCTCGGATGCTTTCATTTAAAGTCTCTTCCAAATTCTCAAGCTCCTCCATGATCTAAGCAAAATTGTGCAACAAAAATAACCCCAAATAAATAACTATGCTGCATTAACTAGACTAGGAGAAGAAATCCAATCCAATAATACAGTGCACCAAGGAAAAAGGAGAAAATTTCAACCATATTACAGCTTGTGTTGATATACCTGTGATGTTCTTTGTTCATTCCGAGCAATCTGAGTTTGTTGGCCCTGGGTCAATCCACCTTGAGAAATGTCTTTAACACGAATAGCATCTATTTCTTTCTTCATATTAGCAATCTGAAGTCGAACAAGTAGTACTACGCGTTAAAAGCACAACCATTAAATTAATAAAGGAGGAAAGAGAGAAACATAAGGAATCAGGGGTTGAACAAATGTCCGAACCTATTATGACGACATTTCAAAGTTGCAGACATAGATCGTAAAAAGAGCTTTATTTGAAACATAGTTTACTTCCAACTTCCCATTAAGAAGGAACTTCTTCTCTCTCTTTTTCAGGTTTAAGTGCTTAAATAGAATTTTGATGAATCTTTATTCAATTTTGCACTCCATAGACCCCGAATTTTCCAGCGTAAAGTGGAATCAGATGAGATCAGGGAACAAGGATGTCCATGCGGTTGTAGGGGACATTTTATTATGGTTTTAACATCATGGTTTAATATATCGGTAAAAAATATAATGAAGAACTTGTAGATTTTGAGAGACATAAGGCTAATATTTCCAATCAATTTTCTTGAAAATGGAATTCCAAAATCTACAAAGGAAGCCACTTTAACTAATTTCTAGGTAAGTATAAAACCGTTTCAAAGAAAGTGTCACTATTTCTTTGCAATGGAAACAATGGTATATGGCATTTCCAACACCATTTTTCAGCATCCACTATTTCAAATCCTCAAAATAGGACATAGGAGTATCTTTGAGGTCAAGAAGCAAGATAAAACGACCAAAATAATAACATAATAAAGTTTGAAACTTTACAAATAGTACAAAGCAAATGAGTTTCGAGGCCATCAAACCTTCCATTGCTCATTGACGTGTCATCTTAAGTTAGACTTTCAAATAATTCTCCTGATTCTTCCCATTGTCAAATTTCCTTCAGGCTCTAGCACTATTTCTCAGACTCCAATAATTTAATGATGTAAGAAATCATATAGTATATGTTTAGTTCATCCTATGAGTCAATGACACAGTATTCCAAATACCACCAAAGCCATCTAACACCATTCTCTAAATCTCATGCAATCCATTAATGTTGATACAATAAAACAATCAATTTTCATTTCTACTTGGTCCATTAATCCATCGTCACATCAGATTTATCTTGGCAATTTGATACATGAGAGAGAGCACTTTTGCAAATCAAATTAAAAATAAAATAATAAAATAAAATATGAAAGAAAACATGATTCCCATAGACATCATCATTTTGGGAGAGAGTTTTCTCAAAGCAAATTAAGAAAAACAAAAGGAAACATGATTCCCATAGACATCATCCTTTTGGGGAGCAACGTGACAGGATGCAATTATAATTCCATGGCTATGAGACTTAGCAGGGAAGTCATCACAATTTCTTTCATGGTATGAGCAGAGAAGGGTTGAGAAAAGTATTGGGGACTTCATCCATGCTGAAACCGCTGTTTTCCAAAATAGAGTGGCTCTTAAAAACATTGAAGCTGACACTCCTTTCAATTACAAAAAGAATTCAAAAAACTAAGGACCTGCTTGGTTTGTCACTCAAAAAACAGTTATCAAGAACTCAGAAAACAGAAAACTATTTTCAGAGAACTATAAAAGACGGTTGAAAACAAACATTTTTATAACTGAGTTTTCAGAAAACTGAACCAAACAGAGTTTTCGTACAGTATCTTGATTTTCAGTTCTTTGAAAACAATAAACTTTTTTCTGAGTGACAAATCAAGCAGGCCCTAAATAGCATCAGGACTCATTCACACTAAACCGGAGGAGGTACGGAGATGCGGGAGACTATAGCCAGATGTGGGTAGCTAGATCTGGATACCAGAGAGCAATCTCCTCTTCAATATGGTAAAATTCATCCAACCCTAAAAATATGACCCTGATATAAAGAAATATTACACCAACTTAAATAAATATTGCCAACACCAAGTAAAAAGTGGATTGGTGAAAATGAGATGTATGTTTGCACCAACTTACCAGTTAAGGAAAAAAAATATTGCCAACACCAAGTAACAAGTGGATTGGTGAAAATAAGATGTATGTTTCCTTACCAAACTCTTTCACAGAATCTTTACTCCCAGTTGAATTAGCTAAAATTCTAGTAGTTTCTTCTCCATGATCCTTACCAAGGCTCATAAAGGATCAGGCTAATAAGTTGTCCGAAAGATTCCACCTCCCCCTCCAAACCATAAAAAGATTTGAGCAAAAAAGAAAGTCCAAGTAATTCATATACCTTGTTTTGGACATGATAATTCTTCCAACATTCTCTCATAACTGTACGAGTCATAAATAGCAAATATTATAGAGTGGCAATTGACAGAACATAGGATATCCTTCTCCTTCAGTATAAAGAAGCACTGTTGCTTCTGCAAAATATGGTAGTTACTGACATCCATTGAACACCATAGTAAAATAAATCCCTTGCTCCGATATAATTGCAACTCAGCCCCCCTTTCCACCTTTTTTTCTCTTTTCTCTTTTCTCTTTTCTCTCTCTTTTTTTTCAACTGAAAGCTTTCCTCTCTTCATCCCGGCCGCTTATTAACTTCCACATCAACATTAATTACATAGAATTACAAGTCTATATACATATCATCTAGACATTACTAGACAAGACAGCCTTGCAGACTGGCAGCAAAAGTGAATAAGGCAATAAAAGTTTAACTAGTTTCAATGCAACAGAATATACAAACTAAAAAATTTCGTGGCAACCATTAGTGTTAGGAATACCATTGACGGATAATGTGCACTCACCTTCTCGAGTCTCTTTATAATTTTATCACGTGTTTTTTCCTGCCTCTCTGTAAGCTGTCCTTTGTAGGTTTGCCAAGTTATTTCTTCAGCGTCATCCTAAATGTACAAAACAACTTCAGTAACAGAAAAGATAAATGAAAGCATCAACTACTTTGATTTCCTCAGCAGAACTAGAAGTGAATTAGGAAATGAAGAAAATCTGATAACAAAAAAAAAAAAAAAAAAAAAATTTGAGGTAAACTGAAAAGCTTTCTGACAGCCAAAATTAAAATTGGTGTGCACGTTTAAGAGAATTGAATTGTACAGTTGCATCGCAGAAAGAATTTGAATAACCTAAGATAAGCATGACAAAGATGAGACTAACGTGAGAGATTGATGAGCCACAAGACCCACAACAGAAGAACCTCTGCATTTATTGATAACAGGATAATTCCAGTGGTTTAAATTATTCCAACATTTTGTAAGAAATTGGTACTAGCCAGGAACTTTCATTCAATAGAACAATACCACCTATACAGTTCGGCACTTTCTCAAAAAAAAAAATAAATAAGAAGTAGAAAAGCATTGTACTCCACATTACGATGACGGATTCTATTAGGAGATAAATTGAACTAACAACGAGGTCAATGGGAAGGATCTCTACGCCGTTCTTTATATTCTACAATTTCTCATTGTATAATATCTTTTTATTTCTAATTTAAGAAATAAAAGAAACGAAGAAAGAAAAATCCATCATGCTGTCAACACTCAACAATATAGAACACCTATAGTGCTCTCTGAAAAGAACATCCAAATTGAGGGGGTTGCAACATACAACATCATATTGACCAGCGTATTTTACATCCAACAGTCCATCAAATGATTGCTCGCAATACTTGTATTGATATGGCATGACAAATACCAACAGGCCAGTGACCTAGCAGTACCAGGCCCCTACTTTCCAAAGGGAGGTCAAGGGTTCGAGCCTCAGTGGAGGTATGTGTGTATGAGTACCAACTAAGGGGAAAAAAAAAAAAGAGATATGGCATGACAAATGACCCATGCAATTTGGGACAATATCTAGGTCGTGTTCAGAGAGGAAAATATCTGTAGTAGTTCCGCAATTCTTGCAAAATTATTGATATAAAAAACTAATGTCCAGAAATGGAAAAGTTCTGCAAATAAATTGTTACATCCGAAAATTGAAGAGGCAAGAAAGTCCGGCAAACCTCAGCTTCTTCAATAGCATCCTCGCACATGCCCCATGAGACGCCATCGGCGAGAGATGCTTCCAGCTTAGCTCGTAGAAGAGAAGCTTCCATATCTTGCATATCTTCTCGCATCTTAGCATTTCTGATACTCTTTAAGTCCCTTTCCTTCAATACAAAACCACAAAATAAATTCTTCCAACGTTATTATGCAGACAAAAACAATGTAAGCACTACAAATACCAACTATAGATATTGTTGACTGCCAAAGGGTTAAACACATAAAATCAAACCAATTCTATTACTTGTTTTTCTCTTCTTTGTAAATGTTATCTAATATAATTCTTTCAAATGTTAGAAGGGGAAGACAAGATAATGATTTCAGATGAAGAATTGTCCCAGGAATTCAACCGAACAATCTCATAAATTATCTATGGAACAGATACCAAGATATGGAGACTGGAGTTAAGTATAAGGCTCAGACGATAGCATGAAACATAAAATTTGAAGTCAACTTTTAAGCTATCATGTCTCTCATTAAGAATACTTGTTTTTAGGGCTGCAAATGAGCCAAGCCGAGCCGAGCCGAGCTTTGGGTTGTTCGGGCTCGGCTCGTCATCTTTGAAGGGGTGCTCCGGCTCGGCTCAGGCTCGGGCGAGCTTGGCTACGCAAGGCTCGGGCTCGGGCTCGAGCTCGGTTGAGTTTCATGAAGCTCGGGCTCGGCTCGGCTCGGCTCGGCTCGGGCTCGTTTATATACACCCTCCAAATTTGCTTCCCTAACTGTGCCTTCTATGCATAAACAAGATGTATCAAATTCAACAAAAAAAACAGAGATGTGTCAGAGATTTGGAGAACATATTTCTACATCTGCAACTAGAGAATTTTTCATATAAGGCAGCCAAGAACCAAAAACCAGTGCATCTACCATTTTTTGTTTGTTTTTTTTTTTCTACAAAAATTTCAATATACTCAAGTAGTAGAATGAATTCCAGATTCAAGAAAGTAACTAATCTCTTACATGAGATCGCATCTAAATCTCCAAGAAAAAAACGAAATACAAAAAAAAATATAAATAAATAAATAAAGATCAAATTTTCAAGATAAAAATCAAATATTACCAAGTTTCCATACTGTAGTTCCTTCTTAAGATCCGTTTGAGAGATAGCTATGTGGCTTGTGGAGTGATGTCGGAAGAATTTAGGTTGGTGTTGATCCGAGAGAGAGAGAGACAGAGACAGAGAGAGAGAGAGAGAGAGTTGGCCTGTAAATGCGTTGCATCTTGTGTAGAGTATTGTCGGCAGATTATGTGGCTGTAGTGTTTTTAGGTTAATTCTGATCTCTGAACTCAACGGCTGAGATGGTGAGATGAAAGGATTTAACTCAACGGCTGAGATGGTGAGATGTGGATGAAAGGATTTAAGTTGAGCCTGATTAATGAAGGGAATTAATATGCACATATATATATATAACGAGCCTGATACGAGCCTTGTTCACGAGCCCTAACGAGCCCATGTTCACGAGCCTATGCGAGCCGACCCCAACGTTGTTCGGGCTCGGCTCGTTTACTAAATGAGCCTATAAATTGGGCTCGAGCTCGGCTCGTTTGCTTAACGAACGAACCCGAGCCGAGCCCTTAACGAGCCGAGCCCGAGCTGTTCATGAACAGCTCGGTTCATTTGCAGCCCTACTTGTTTTGGATATCAATAAGTGGACAAAGCTTATGGAGAAGTTTTCCAATAGGAAGGAGAGCTCTAAGAATATATTTTACTTTCCAATTCAAGGAGGAGTGGGGGTAAAGGACATGGCCTGGTCAAAATTCCGTATGGATGCCAAAAAGATGAGCTCATTTTGGTAAATGATTTTGTGGATACAATATCATAAAAAGTTCTCTTCATCTTATAGGTACAGGTCTATATGATGCTCCTACAATATCATAAAATTCTTTCAGATTCTCAAATCCCCTGATAATTGGTATTGATTGAAGATTTTTAAGTACATGTTCGTGAGAATGTAAAAGAAAAAACAATAAAGTACATAGCAAGTCTTCAAGTATCCAAAGTGTCAGTTACTACAGCATAGATAGGATACACTTTATCATGAAAACAAGCAGTTTGACAACTGAAAATGTAGGATTATAGTCCAGGAAAACTATAGGACACATTTTATCATGAAAACAAGCAGTTTGACAGCTGAAAATGTAGTATTATAGTCCAGGAAAACCAAATTTCTATAGCATTTCAATCATGATTGAACTTAGAAAACTAAACCAAAAAAGTGACCATAAACTGTAGTGACACAACAATCTTACTGGTAGCATCAGCTCAGATGGTCCTTGGAATATGTACAACCGAGATGATCTGTAGAGAGAATATAAAATCAAATAAAATATAGCAATAACAGAAACATATAATATATATACAAGTAAATATTGCACAAGAGTATGTACATAAGAATTTTACTTTTTCCCGTCCAAGTATAACATGCTCATAATCATAGTGGTAAAATCAGGATTCTTACTGTGAATTGCTATCCTATTTTTTAGAATCCTGAATTGTGACATATTGTGAATCGTAAATAGGTTCTCAATTTTGAAAATAGATGTAAAATAATAGGTGTGTGTGTGTATATATATATATATATATATATATATATATAGAGAGAGAGAGAGAGAGAGAGAAAGGGAAATATATATATACACATTGTAAAAAAATATAGGATGAAGTAATATGTGCCTTTTTTAGTGATGTGTCAACTAATGGGTAAGGCACTTACCATACCAGTCACCATTTTTCAATTCTGTTTTGTACATATCTAATATCACTTTCTCTTTTAAGTAAAGCTAACCTCCTGATAAATATAGGGTTTTACACCCTTAACCATACTCACCAACCAATTTCATCATCACAACAAACATAGGGTTTTAACTTGTATGATCATTGAAGAATCTAATACATTTTGAAGCTTTATTAATTTTTTTGTTGAACCTTTTAAAATTTTGTTTTTTTCCGTCACATCTGATCCATTGTTTCCTTGGCACCAACAAGTACTCTTCTTTGAACTAAATCCAGCCAATCACCATCAACTTCAGTCTTCTTTTTCATTCCATCTATTAAATAAAAAATTTCCAATGACTTCCAGAACTTCTAGACAATCGAAAATGTGTTTATGAGTTACGAGCAGCAGATGTTCTATCCAGATGAAACCACCAAAATATCACATTAGGCACAATAACAACCCATTAAAAGCATGTGAGAGTTCCACTGTTAAAAATAAAAATCATTGATACAAAAACAACTATTATATGGCTTACCATTAGGTCACTTGTCTTTTCACCTAGCAACAATTTTCTAATAAAACCAACAAAAAACAATAAAATGGTCACCTAATAGGTCAAAGCAAAAAAGGAAAAAAATTCTTACCCATCTTTGCTTCATAAAAGATTGTTCTGGCAGGTAGTAAATGTGGGAGAAATTACAACTAGGCCATTAGCCCAGCAGGTATAACCTTTCCTCGCTCAAAGGGCAGGTGAGAGAGTAAATACCTAATCGAAAAAAGAAAAAAAAAACTGTGGGGGAAAATAGTGTGGAGTCTTATAAACAGGGATAATTTATATTGGATGTGGACTCGACAAGCTAGCCAATCTCACAACTCACGGAATCATGAGATTCCCTTTTGATTTACAAGAGAAGGAGGAAGAGGAGAGGGAAGAAGAAGGGGGGAAGGGGGGAAGGGTGGGTAAGGGAAGGTGAACTGAATCGCAAATTATAAGAGTTAAAAACAATGCTTAGAATATGAACATATATGTCAAAACAAAATTTTCCAAAACGACAATTTTGGGATAATTTATTTTTTGCAGTATCAGTGTGATATATCAAGAATATACATGTCAAAGTCATATAAACAAATGCAAAATCAGAAACAAGAAAAATTGCTTAAAAAGGTGGATTTAAAAATATAAAAAATACATTCCACATTGCCAGCTTCCAAATCAACAGCAAACTAATAATAATAATAGTACTTTTACTTCTGAAATAATGCTTTATATACTTCTAAGCATGTAATTCATTAAGGAGTGCGATCAGGGAATTCATCTTGAAAATCCAACCACCAAATCTTGAACAAATCCAGTAATATGATTTCCAATATTGAGGAACTACAAAGAAGAAGGCCTTAGTGGAGGGTCAGTCAGTATATAACAGATACTTATATGCATGAGCCTTAAATTATCTACAAAATTGTTTTGAGAACAGAATACAATGAAAATAAACATCCATTACGACTCTTCAAATCAAGTAATTTTCACTACTCCTGAAATTGAGAATCGGACTGGATGCAAGGCCTCTAATCATTCTAACTCTAGAGTTATATGCATAAAGTGCAATTATATCTCTATCTCTCATTTTTCCCCTGAATCAATTATATCGTTCTCATATATTGCTTTGTTCTATCCTTTTTTTTTTTTTTCCTTTCTTCTTTTATTAGTCAACGGTATGAAATTGAACTCACCACACAAAAAGATGGGTAATGTCCTACAAAAGCAAGAAATTAGGAGTTTGCGTGTAAGCTTACTTATATAACCCATAACGAAGTTTAGCCAATTAGTTGCAACTTAAACAGAGGTATATTATCTATCTGATGGAGATCATGAGGTGTTTCGCACCTATGTCAGGCATAGGCGCGGGGACATTTTATTAGGGATATTTTAGTATTTTTACTTTTTAGTATTTACTGGTAATATTTAGTAATTATTGGGTATTTTATTTTATTTTATTTTATTTTATGATTGGGTTTGCCTATAAAAAGCCTTCATGTAACAGACTTCATTAGTTTTTGAAGAATAATATTATTGCTTTCTTCTGTATTATCTCTGGTTTTCTTCTTCCCCCCATTTCTGTTCTTGCTTCTCTAAATCCCTCCGTCTGTATAATCTAACTATTCTTCGTTTTTTTGATAAATAAGAGTACATTAGAAAGCGTTCAAAAGGGACACGCGTCGCGGACACTGTACAAGGCCGAAGCCAAAGACTGTCTAATCTACCTATTCACTCTCTTTTTCCAACCCCTTCATCTGTCTCCTCACCCATTTCTTCCAGTCTCATCTCTTCTTCAATTCTCCCACCTCCTGCTTTCTTTCTGGTTCGTCATCATTATCTCTACCACATTACTTCATACCCAAGACAATAAGAATTTTATACTCTACTATTCTACAACCAATAACCTTAAATTGTCCTGATCTGAACACAAATCAACTCGACAAAGCATTTTCTCAAAAGGATTCATGAAAAAAGTTTTATGCTGGCTCTCAAGTCACCTAATGCAATCCTCAGTTTCCAGGCATCTAATTACTTGTGCAAAGATAAGTCACTCAATGCATCCCGATCTATCTCACCATCATCCTTGCTTTAATCAATATGAAATTCTATTTACATTCTTTCCGCATGTTAGCTTCGATCAACCTCTTTGTATTATACCTTTTATGCAAGCTACTCTATCTTTTTACTAAAGCATCCTGATCCCCATATACTATTTAAAATAATAATAAAAAAATAAAAATAAAAAAATCTGAGAAAGAAGTAATTATTAGATGGCTCAAGAAACTAAAAAATCTTGACCCTGCTTAAATGCAACCATTGGCACACGGGAGCAATTTATCTTCCACAATAATATAGTTTATGCAAGTTAAAATAGTTATTATTGTTTTTACAGTTTTTAGAATCAGAATTATGTTATTTGATATGAAACTTCAACAATTCCTACAAGACCAATCCATGCATAATCAACATATAATCTACACTTGGTTTAACAATCTTATGTTTCCCTCTCTTTAACCTGATAAGTAAAATGAACCATAAGAAATCATTTCCAACAACACCTAAGAGTTGAAATAGAAATGAACATATCACCGATATACTAATATGCAAAAGAACACATTGAACTAGAGCAAATACTTACTGGCCAAATCGAAGGACATCACCAACATGCAACTCCACATAAACCTTTTTCTTCACCTAAGAATTTGAAAATGGACAACTCATTAAGAAAATATGATATAACGCAAACAGTATGACAAATATATAAAAAATTACTTCTATATACAATTAACCGTTTTTTTTTTTTTTTTGATAAGTATCTATATACAATTAACTGAACCACTAATATAAAGGAAAATGATAAACATCACGAAGTAATTTTCATGATTTTATCAAAAATGAGACCTGGCATAATTAGCTTTCCTTTCAAGAACTGGAGAGAGAAACCCACACTAAGATTTCCTTTTGGGAGCGAATTTCCTTTTTCTTGAATCGTTCTTAGATTTTCTTTTGGAAAGCTGCCAGCGGCAACCACACAGGCATAGTTCTAAGTTTTTACTTAAACAAATTGTGTGAGTATGTATATATTATATATCGAATCACATGTATAATTAAACATGGAAAGAAGGATATATAACTCCAAATTTAGGATTATGTTTGAATCTCTGTTGCATAGTTAGGATCTGGGATTACGGATGATTACTCAAAAAAAATTAAGGCACCCATAAATGAATTTAGTCATGGACAATTGTTTGATCCATTGTAGAGGACTACTTTGATGGCTTCAATGTTGATGTGATGACTATGGTAGAGGGACGCTACGGATCTTTACACTTTTGGAAAGAGAATATTGAGAGAGAAAAACTGGCCTAAGAAGGAGGTGAGAGTGATGCGGCCCATGTGGGTGGGAGAAATATGACATCGTATTAACATTTGTGATACAATCTACAATTTTTTTTTGTGAAGTATAGCACTGCTATAATACAAAAGCATCAGCAGTATCTGTAAGAAGAATGATAAATTTCAATAGTATGAAAGGTATCGAATACTAAATTATTTAGTTGCACAAGGTACACTGTTTAGGTTGGCATGTTAATTAATATATATAAGTGGATTCTCGAATTGATAATATGCAAGTGATTAAACAAAAGCTAGAACTGGTAATTAATTACTACTTCAACCGTAAGGTATTCTGATATGTTCGATCATTTGACAGCAATCACCTCGGAGAGGGCAGGTTCTTTACTGGGTAATTCAAACCAGCACTAACCAAAATTATCACCAAGCCCGCACTATGAATTTGATGCTTCTAAGGACTTCATTAGATCTGTGTAGCCTACATTTGGCAGGAGGAAAAAAGAATGAGGGAGGAAAGAGAGGAGGGATGGAGCAAGCTTCCATTGTTTGGTAAAGACTATAGAAGAGAGGAAAAGGGAAAGGACGGGATGATGGATGAGGCATCCCTCCAAGCCCACCATTTTGTTTCCATCTAAAATTGGAAGAATAATAATTACTATCCTTAAGTTTATTAATTTAAATATTTAAGAATATAATGATGAAATAATAATATCATCCCTTTCCTCCTTTCCCTTCTATTTTTCGATCTCTCCTACCAAACAGAACATTGGTGTTTCCTGACAAATAAAACTAACTGGATTCACTTATATCACAACCTTTTAGACTGCAAAACATTGGCGTTTCCTGACAAATAAAACTAACTGGATTCACTTATATCACAACCTTTTAGACTGCAAATGCTATATGCCTATAAATTACAAACAATGTAAATATCAGGATCAGCCCTTAATTATAATTCAATCGTAGCAAAATAATGCACATAAATATACAGTGTGAGGTTGATAACTAGAATTTTCCTAAGAGCATGTCAAACAACTTCTCCACTTCAAGAGGGTTGGAGATGATGAAAGGTTTTGTTTCTGACAACTCAAAACCAACTGCATTGGAAGCCATTTCAAGCTGATCCATTTGCATGCACGTATATAAGTTGAAATTAGACTTTGCCAGGTCTAATACACACCCATACTGTGCAAGTACACAAAATATCAACCCATAATGGTACGTGGAAATCAGTAAAATTCTTGAATGCACTCAACAAACCATACCTAAGGAAATTAAACCAACAGCTTAAAATTTCATACCCTCCAACCTGAACATATGATCATCAAAATTAAAACTTCTTCAACTCTCTATATTGCTGGGGAGAATAAAATTTTGCAAGTTGCAATTGTCCAAGCTTCCCATGCAGCGCACTCAAAACTTTTTTTGTTATTATAAGTAATGGAACAACCAGCCAACTCAGCGTGAGACAAGTAACATCATACCATATACAGATGCAATCCAATATGGAAGGAGAATGCATAATCAATTGCCAAATTGGAATTAGAATCCCAGAAAAGGCCACGCTCATCAAATTATTTAAGAATACAAATTCAATAACCAACTGGAAAGTTGACTTCATACCTACCTTTAATGTTTCAAATAAAGAAATTCAAAACAATAAAGAAAAAATGCAAGCATTTGAAAACAAGTTAGCATTGAGTAAATGAATTCAAATACCTGATTCTTGTTTACAGAAGTCCCATGCGTACTACCAAGATCATAAAGGTAAGCATCTCCATTTCTCTTAAACTGCAGAACTAGCAAAGAGGAAACATGTGGTCAAATAACTACACTAAAATATTCAATAATTAAGAAGCTTCTGTAAACTTTCAAAGAATTTGTAAAATAAAAGCCAAAACATCTACTAAATTTTATTTGGAGTACCATAAGTGTCATGTATCTACATATTCCTTACTAAACTATTGAGAAAACCATCTAATCTTATTTTTAATAAACATGATACTATCATGCATCAAACAGCAAATGCTATCAGGTATGGGGTGGAGCCAAGCCATAAAACTAGGTCAAGCACTAATAATAATAGCATTCCAACCATAAGAAACTCAGAACTAAATTATTAGGATGCCAACCATCAAAAGATCAACCAGACAACCAATTGGTCATAAAAATTAAGTTCATTATAAGAATATAAGTAACTCTCATATTATTTATATAATTTTTCTTTACAAGATTTCTGATCTCCCCCGCAACTAAAAAGAGCCACGACACCATGATTTCTTGTTGATTCTCCAATGAGTTTTGCAAGCAAGGAAGCCTGTTTCGTTCTCACCGTCATAAATATCACAGGATTCTTAGTAGAATCCAATACCCCTGCCAATTTTCTTGAAATAGTTTCCATTGCAGGTGAGACAGTTCCTAATACAGTAATGGCAGATCTCTCCCAAAATCCAACAACCACAACGACAGATCCCCATAAAATTATATTTTAAAATATTAGAGGTCCATTTCCACCCATTTAATATCACAAATAATCAAATTTTCACTAATTTTTTTGTTGACTTAAAGGTCATTCAGGGTAAACAGTAAAACGATCTTGGACTCAAGCATAGTTCATTGTCCATTCAAATGTTTAGATAGACTGCTACTTGAGATCACACATGAGAAAATGAGCCAATCTTATGTTTTAAAGCTCGTTAGAGCAATTTATTTTACTTTGCTCACTGAGCTAACGAGCATCAACAACAGTGTATACATAAACATATATACTCGAGCGACTCAAACTTGGAAACTAGAGAAGACATTTACTCGAGATTGCTCATGAAACTAACAAGCAAAGCTCATCTTGCAACTCGTTAATTTTTTAACCCAAGCTTGAGCAGCATGCTACTCAATGCAACTCCGTTCCTTTAGAATAACAACGTATATTTTTTAATATGCATTGGAAGGAGATGATAAGTGTCATTTGTCATGAATCCTTCAATTTTGACATTGGGCATCGCATTCCTTAGATTCTTCTATTAATTCCCACGGAATTTATTTAGTTACACTGGCTTCTCTAGTTTCTTTCAATGTGCTCTTGTATAATTTACATGTTCTACCCTTGGTGAGTTATAGGGACAGTTTTGGCTCCACCATTCGGAATAATATCATCTGAAGCATGAAGAAATAGAGTGTATAATGCATATATATATTTGTCAACAAGTATATGTTCATGTATATTCTTAAAATTACTGAAGAGCAAGAAAATATTGGAAGAAAATCATGTGTACCAGCATGAAATCGAGAGATAGTCGGGTGCTCAAGGACAAAATCACAGAGATCTATACGCCCGAACATGTAAGCCCCCTTCTCATACCTGAATAATTGCCAATCAAGAATCATCAACAACCACCAAATTTAAATATTGTAATAGTAAAAATAAATATAGCCAATTATTTATTTCCCTTAGGTGAATTTCACTAGTTGACATTTGATTTTTCATTCAATTTATGCACAATTACGTTTCAAAATTATGACATATTGACATCGAAATCAAATAAAACTTAAACTGGAGAAACTTACACATTAAATTGATCAATGATGGACCCGTCCTTGAGAACTTCCAGGAAATAGTGATGGCACGGTGGTTCACTCCACGGAGGAATCGTATAAGGAACTGCAGCATTTGGAAGTTGCTCTTTTTCATTCTCGACGCTGTGTTTGTCAGTGGAATCTACAATAGGTTCTGAACCATTTTCGGGACAAATTGGGTGTTGATCTTGATGGGCGTCGTGTAGGGATTCTAGTGGGTCAGGTTTTGGGGTGTTAGGGTTTTGCGGAGGTGGAGGACCCATAGGAGTCTTCGCTGGTTCGGAGGTTGAGGGTTCGTCTAGGGTTTTGGTTTGTACCTCTGCGGAAGGGATTTCGTTGGACATGGTGGAAGAGTTAGGGTTTCTGGGAGGTGGCGGACCCATGCCTGTAGTCATTGTGTGTGCGCGCGCGCGCGCGTGTGGTGGTGGTCGGATGGGGAGGGGGGAGGTGGGAGGGAGATGTCTTAGGCTCAGTTTGGTAGAGTGGAGATGGGAGGAAAAAAAAAAGAGAGAGGTTACGGAGGGTGATAAAAAAACGTGTTTGGTATTGAAAGTTGGAAGGAAAGGAAAATGAATTGAAGGTTTTGGAGGAATAAAAATAGGCTCAATAGTGACTTTTGTAATCCTTCCAAAAATGGGAAAAAATGGAAGGAAAGGAGAGGACAGAGCAGGAGGGAGCAATGTAATACTAAATTTACCCTTGATCTAGGGTGCCAAAATTCACTGCGTTGAGGAAAGGCTAGAACAGAATTGCAGTCGCCAGAGACGAAGGGGCGCGTGTGCACGTGAAAGACGCGTTAGATCTACTCGCATGCACGTGTGACGGCGAGTGGGCGGCGAAGTTCAGTTCGGCGATGAATCAAGCATGGCAGATAAGTACATGGATGGAGCTAATTTCAATTTTGTGGCTGACCAGACCTCTTCACCGCTCATGGAAGTTATCGAACCTAACTATTTCACTATTGGTTCTGAAATATATGGGTTTTGAACTTTTGATTCTTGTAGATTTTGTAGTTTGCAGTTGCAGAGACTGAGAGAACAAGAGAGAAGGCAAGTTCAGAGTTGAGAACGAGAATAGAGATGGAGGCGAAGGCTGAAATTATTTGCCCTAATATTTGTTTTTCTGGTGGCCTATCATCCATGGGCCTATAAATTATGAGGCCCATAACTTTATTTTTTATAATATAAAAGGGTATAATAGTAAATTGACAAAAATACTTTCCTTCCCTTTCTTTTCCCAAACATAATTATTATCATTTCATTTCTTTTCCTTCATTAATCAACCAAACACGACAGGTAGTTAAAATTATCATTCATTTCCCTTTCCCTCATAACTAATATTATCCTATCTCTTCAAACTCACCGTATCAAACATAGCCTTAGGTACAAGGAGGTAGACACAGGAGGTAACTGATGCAAGTCCTGTGAGAATAGCGAACCAAACCCGTTCACTTGACCCGAAACATATATGTCCTGAGACTGAACCTAAGATTTTGCTAATTGGGCCAAAGTGGGCCCAAGTAATATATTAAAAAATTTTGAACCTTGATCCATATATTGAACCAAACTATATGGTTAAGTTTTAAGTTTTGCTAATTGGCCCGAAGTCGGCCCAAGTAATTTTTTAATTTTTACGGAGGGTGGCCCAACTAAACTTTGGTTTGGATTAATTTATAAATGACAACTTTGGTTTGGATTACTTTATAACTTTAGTGATAATAATTCTAAAAAATATATTAAATTTTTTTGAACCCTTATCTGTATATTGAACCAAACTATATGGTTTTGATCATTTTTAGGGTAAAGTGCAATAAATCCCCCTCAACTATACCCCAAGTGCAACTAATCCTCCTCAATTACAAATAACCCCCTTCAGCTATGCTCTTGGTGTAGTCTTAGGATAGAGAAGGTTTTTTCGATCATCTCCTATCACTGAAATTTTAAAAAGTCTATTTTACCCCTCTCATAAAAAGGGTGCCACTTCACAAAAAAAACGCTACCGTTTTCCTTCAGCAACTTAAATGAACTTAAATAAATTTAATAACCAATTATATGGTGACACCTCGTGTAACTTAAAATAAAAATCAGTTATATAATATAATACAAGCCATATATGTGTGTGTGTGTGTGTGTGTTATATGTACTGAGAGATATTGAAAATTGTGAAATAGAAGGGTCAACCCAACCAAGTTCTCTCTAACAGATTGAGGAAAGCGAAGCAGCGGCGACAATTAACAAATCCGACGACAGCAAAGAGTTGGCGAGGAATATGGCAATGGCAAATTTGGATGGCCATAGTAGGAATCAGTCCAGTGGCGACAACGATAAAGGCTTAACCAACTATGATAAAAGGCCTGATCAACGGCGATGGCTGTGAGAATGTTGTGATGGTGTTTCGATGGTGAAACCCGCCGACGTGGTTGTTGTAGCGACAATGGTTTCAATTAATGTTCTGTTAATTATATGTGTTTGGCAATGACGAGGTTATGAATTTTTCGAATGGGTTTGCTTGGTAATCAGCCATAAAGATATTGATGGAGTTTTGCGATTGGGTTTTGTTGAAATTCAAGAAATCGAAATTCAACTATCAATTTAGGGGTTCGGTCTGTACTTTAACTCACCGGATTGAGCTATGACGTTCCCGTTCTGAACTGAAACTCTCGGGTCTAGACTGAACTTCACCGGACGGTTAGTCATTGTTCTAAACCTTTTCTGATTTGGGTAGCTGAAATTCTCAGCTAATGATCGTCTTGTTTTAGCAACGAACCTTATATCTTAGATCACACCGGCCACTACCTTATTCTCCTTCAACCAGGACTCCTGCGGCGACCTGGTATATCCCATGGAGGGCGACGGTCGCTGACCTCCATAACTTGTTAGGTTGCTACAGTAGCAACCCCATCCTCCAACATGTAGCCACCCAAAGGTCACTACCATCCACGGCGAGAACTATGTCACAAAAATGACTTGGTCATATTCTTTCCCGGCGACGCAAAAATTGCCGTGGTGTTCTGATCAAAGTCGTCGCCGAAGTTCATGGAGTAGAGATTAAGCTCTTCATTTTGGTCTTCAATGGAAATAAAGAAGAGAGATAAAATTGGGTAAAGAAGATAGAGAGGATTAGGGATTTTGGGTTGAATGGGTAACAATCTTATAATATAAGGGTAGTATGGTATTTTTGTATGATAGAGGTTGAATGGTCATTTAATTTAAATATGGTATTGAGGGACTTAATTTAACGGCAAAAAAATTAACCGGTGGTCGGATTGGGTAAATTGCCACAAACCCCTAAGTTGAGGGGGTTATTAGGCCAATATATTAAATAAAAATTAATATGCATATTTTATTCTTAAATCTTAACACGTAAATTCAACAAACATTATTAATATGAAACAGTTAACGAGTTGTAATTTATAAATTATGTCAGCAAATTATAAAGGGGTGTTATCCATTTGGCGTTGGCAATGCAAATATATATATTTAAAACTCAAAATAATGATAATACTACCTTGTTATTTCATTTTTGGCCTTTTTGGTTATTATCATTGGGCAAAAGTCAAATAGCGTAGTAGTTTGTTTGCAAGTGACTTATTATCATTATTAAATAAAAAATAATATGCATCTTTTATTCTTAAATCTCAACGCATAAATTCAACAAACATTATTAATGTGAAACAGTTAACGAATTGTAATTTATAAGTTATGTTAGCAAATTATAAAGGGGTGTTATACATTTAGCGTTGATAATGCAAACATATATATTTAAAACTCAAAATAATGATAATACTATTTTGTTATTTCATTTTTGGTCATTTGGTTATTATCATTGGGCAAAAGTCTAAGTCACTTGCAAACAAGCTACTATGCTATTTGACTTTTGCCCATTTATCACCAAATTGTGTTTTAAAATTATGTGAATTTTCCATATATCTGACAAAAGATGGTATTGTAGAATTATTAACCAAATGGCATCTATTCACATGGTATAATGTACAGAAGTTTAAAAGTTAAAGTCATAAAGATGTGCAAGGAATTGGTGTGGGGATGGAATGAAGGTATACTTAGGTCTTAGATGATATCATCATATTTAATGTATATTCTGATTGGGACAGACTAACTGATTAGAGTTTAATAAAAAAAAATTGTTAAAAAATTATTTTTAAAAAATAAAGAAAATACATGATAAGGAATATAAATAAATAAAATAAAATAAAACAACAACAACAATTCATTAGTCATGTAAAGACAAAAAGAGACAATCACATATTCACAATGACTTTTTATTATTATTATTATTATTATTTTTTATCCTGGTAAACAAACCGCCAACAAACTAGTACAAGATCAAACATCAGCATATAATGCAACACCGTACATGATAAAGAACCACACAAAACCAAACACAAAATAACTCCATAGAAACCTAAAACTAAGCTAAGACATGATCACCATCATGAGAACCAAAGATTGTGCAACACCAACCAACAGGGCAAGTTTAGTAGCAAAAGACTAAGACGAATCCGAAGTAAAAGAATCCGTCGCCTGCGTCTCTATCCTTCCAAATGAAGCTGAATGCAGACCCACCAAACCACTTGGCAAACTTATCTCTGTCAACTTACTCACTACATCTCCCCCCACAACTTTCATCTTCTTATCTCTTTCAGCACCTTCAACATTAGAACCCCCTGAGATTGATTGACGACGTTTACGGCCCTTACAAATCGGAGACGATCCTTGACTATTAGAATTAACAAAAGAATCAGATTTATGCCCTTTAGACTTAATTACCTTAGCTTTCCCTTTCTTCAAGTCCTTCTTCATATGGGTTCGTGTTGTCAGCCGAAGTGTGGGAGTTAACGGTTTTGATTTGGTGGCTGACCTTGAGTTATCTAGATCTTGATATTCCTTTTGCTTATGATTTATCATCGTAGTCATGTCTCCTTTTAGTAATTTTTCCAGATTTCGAATTATTCTTGATACTGTACTTATTCTTCTGGTGTTTTGGTGGTGTCTTTTTCCTTTATTTTTGCTTTCTACGTCTGTACTATTGTGTGTCTTGTTCTGTTTTTCTGGTCGGTTTTCTGGTGGTGATGGTATGACTCGGTTTTGGCTTCTGAGGGTGTTTGTTTTTGTCAAATGGTGTGGATTTTGTTGGGGTGGGCTCTGGTTGTTTCGTTTTTTTTCAGTGGTTCTCTTATTTTTCTCTAAATCGGGGGTTTAGGATCTGGATACAGGGGCAGATTTATGGGTTTTCTTGGTGTTTCCATTGTCCCCAGTGGTCTTCTCGCCGATGGTGTATTTGGTCAGTTAGTTTATAGTGTAGTGATGTAGTGGCCTTGTTGGATCGCCAGCCTACATGGTCAGCGATGGTGATGTCGGTTCGTTTGGTGATGACGTCATGGGTGACGTCACTGATATTTTTTGAGGACGTCGTTGGTTAGATGGTAGTGGGGCCTATGCAAGTGATTTTTTAAACACCTCAACTGCTGTTTCTATTGCCGGCTCTGCTATGTATGATCAATTGTCTTAT